CTCTCTCTTCTTCTTCTGTCGTCTTATTTTTTGAGCTAAGCTACATTTTTAGCATATCATATACATTGAAGCCAAGCGTTCGATCGGGAGTTGCAGCTCCGACCAGAAAACAGAAAACGAAAATATATACAGCATATAATCAACCTATTCGTGCATTAGTAATTATTTCTCAAGGGTGGCAAATTCTTTACCTTTTTGGATTGCATACAATACCCTCGATATGTAATGACGTACCGTGGAGCTTCAGTGATAGCATTATACGTTCATACGTTGCTGAAGCAAAACACACATTTTTTGTTGATGTACCCAATTAACGCATTTGGGTATTCTTTCGCTGTGGTAATCATCACATTTTCATAGCCAATGACTCTGTTTGCAGAATGTACAGTTTGGCGCTGACGCTGGTTTGACCTTTCTGCTCCCTTTTTTGATTGTTGGCTTCTTTTCCCAGTTCCCAGTACTCGAATTCGCTGGTCCAGGAAACTGAGCATTGTGTCGAGGTCTAGTATTTCTCTAGAATAATCTAACGTTCGTATAAGACTGTGTTTGCAAAATCCAAATTTTGCTTGATAATGGCAATCACTATTGTATCCCAACTAGATATATCGATGCCCAGTCCCTTCAATGATGCCAGAGACTCGATATTTGTATTACAACTTCTTCAATGACTTCGGATCGACACTGTTTGTGATAAATATGTCTTATCAATCTTTCAGCCTCTCAGTTACGGTGGTTTTAAAATTTTTCGTACCGTCGGCATGTTAGTGTCATGGACAAGGCATTTGAATAAATCAAAAAATTGCGTCCATTTAAGTAGATCTCCGTCGTTATTGCTTGATGCGTTTGATGTTGACCCTAACACTGTTTGAATAAAAACTGCATGTCATATCCTCCCTTGACCGGGTCTTCGTATTCTTAATGAACCGAAATGAAGATTTCTTAGGATTGTGACCATAGTGTTTTTTTTATCAAATCACTCTTTATGGTCTTTCCGGTTTCTGAAAACTCTTTCAGAGCCCTTTTGCTTGAATCGGCTATCCCTTTTTGTAGGCGACAAGCCGAAGCTTGTTCTATATGCTATATGCTATATGCTTGCAGCGTCTGCGTTCCCCTGGGTCTGTCTCGAAGTTTGAGCAATTGACTCTGTTATGACGGTTCTACTTTTCTAGTACTTGTCGTATGACTCATCACAGACTTTGTGGAATTTCTCTAGAATATTTAGATCATTATCCGCAAATCTATACCACGTTTCATCGATTGCGGCCATCTTTGATTAATAATAAGTAGGATTGAGTTTTTTCTCTGCTGAGCCTTTTTTAAAATTGCGGAGGAGCTTTAAAATCTCTTGACCGATCCAACGATCCGTTGGGAGTGCTTTATTTGCTTTTGATGACAGGATACGCTCCTATTTGAAACCGTTGTTTGGTCGAAAGAATCAAAAACTGTTCAATAGACTTGGAGGACTTCTAGAAATCTGTGTTCAGGTTATAGATTTGTTCTTTAAGGTGTCGCTTTTTTGTGTCCAGGAAGGTTCCCAAGAGTAATAGGTTATGAGTTATGAAGAGGATGAGATGCCTGGGAGAGAGTGCATAAACTATTAGCTTTTGTTGTCTCAACTAGAACTTGAACTAGGTGGATTGATTGTATGGGTTAAGAGCAGCGACAGCCTTTGGCGAATGAGTAAAGCTTCTGTTTGCAGTTAGAACTATTATTAATTTTATTAATGAAACATAACAATATTAATAGCTAAAAATTGTTTGACAAAAATGTTTACGTTACGTGTGTACAATGTAATGTGGGTTACGGTATATTAATTTACGTTGCGCACTCAACTTCCTCATGTCAGAAGAATATGCATATGAGCTTGACCTTGAATACTTTATTTTTATGACAAATATATACATATTGCTGCGACTGAAGACTTATTGCATAATTGTTGGGTATGAATATTATTGCCTTTAAATACTGCCGTGACATAACATATGATTTCAATCATTAACTATTTTTATATTAATTTATTTACGCACAGCACTGATTTCCCATTACTTGACTCTTAATAATAGCCCCAAATTTCGTCCTCGACGCCAGAAGAAAGTTCGCATTTTTTATGGATGCAAATTTAAGCCCCAATCGGAAGTAGGCCAGCCTTAAAGCTTGTGATGACATTAGGAGGTCAAAATCCAATCTTTTCGCCTACTTTTGATCGATTCATCTCCCACTCCAATGCCCAAACTTTATTTGTCAAGCGCGCGGGCTAGGTAAAAGTAGTACGTGGCAGGAGGAATATATATAAATAATTTCATTCAGAAGTTTGCAACGCAGTAAAGGAGTCTCCTTCGACCATATAAGATATATATATTCTTGATCAGTATCAACAGCCGAGTCGATATACGAAATTTTGCAGTTAGTCTTCTATATTTTATCACTCGTATAAATGTCGGAACGGGCTGGATCGGACGACTATATCATATAGCTGCCATAGGAACAATTAAAAATTTTTACAATTAAAAATTATAAGTTTTTTAGTTTTCAACTGATTTTTATCAAATTTGAGCTATAGACATTTTATATTTTTCTAAAGTTTTGTGCCATAAGAGCGGCCGAGAAATTAATACCATAAAAAATGATAACTTTTTCAATTTTCAACAGATTTTCATCAAAATTGAGATATAGCCCTTTTATATAATTCGGGAATTTTGATTTTAAGATATAGAGAAAAATGCAACACTTTGAACTGTAAATATAATATCTAAAGGTAAATTAATTGAAATTAAAAGCAGGCATTACTTATTGCTTTTTTTCAACATGAATATATATAATTTATATTGTATTAATTCTTAGTGATTCCAGTTCTATATGCAAGGGTGTATAAACTTCGGCGTGCCGAAGTTTGCTTCCTTTCTTGTTTAATTTCAGGTTGGCTTAACCCCTTAATGAGCCTTAAATTTACAAACTAAATTTTAAAACAGCTATCAAAATGCAATACAATCCAGTAAACATTATCATATAGCCAGCTATTTTTATAGTCTCTGCCAAATCGCCATTAAAGACTTTTTCACTATCACCCTCTAAAATAGAAATATAAGCAAAATGTGATAAATGTTTTAAAGAGCACGCCACAATATCTTTGTGCGCTCCAGATGTATTCATCATCGTTATACCATCGTTTGCCCAAGTGCCGTTATTCCAATAATGGCACGAATTTGAAGTGCTTAGCTTCGGGCCTTTAGATTTTCGTATAATCAGTGGAATTGGTATGGGCAGGATTGAACTGTAGTTAGGTATTGATATTGATACTATACGACTGCAGATAATCTTATTTGTATTGTTGTGTTGAAACAACTTGTCATTAGAGTATACTTTAACAATAATTAGAGGAATACTCTTACAAATAGATTTTGTCAAATCTGAACATGATTTTAAGCTGCTAATAAGATCTTTTGGTAGATATACCCCAAGTTGTAGATTCGGCTCATTAAAAAAGTCACTTGTATCATGATTTGATTGTAAAAAACGGTAATTTTCGTTAATTAACGATTTTTGAGATAGGCTTCTAGACAAAGATTTTGAAAACAAAGCTATTCCAGAGACATTAGCAATAATTGGATTTATTAAGAAATATAAAAGATTTTTCGAAATTTTTACCGACACGCCAATATCTTGATAGTCTATAATATCATTATTAAATTCAAAGTCATCTTCTTTTACATTAGAAAATGTTTCATTCGACAACGATAAAATTGAAAGAGTATCAATTGACTCTTCAAAAGATTCCAATATCTTGTTTGTTGAGTTTAATGTTGCCGACATTCTTAAAGCCTCAGTTTTTATATTTGTGAGAGAATTGTAAGCCTTTATAACTGCACAAATTGAATTTTTCCAAAGAGTGCCTGAATTTAAAACCGTAAGGCTTTTAAAATTTATTCTTATAATTTTTGATATTATGTGAATATCCGCAGCAATCAGAGCATTCTTATTTTAGAAATCAGTTCAATAACTTTTTTTAAACTTTGTTCGGGCTCAGAAATAAGCAATTTTGAGTTCCATATATCAAACAAAATGTTCGTGATATTTTTTGTCGGCTTACAAAATAATGGTTGTGTCAATTTATACCAATATGCTCCACGTAAAAAATCACCTTGGCATAGTTGTGTATATGACATACCATTATTTTGAAGACATAATGTTTTTGTTATCCCTATATCTCCAATACGCGTTTCGATCCAATCGGTTTTTATGCCAGCTTCCAAAAAAGATCGTTTTGCAAAACAGTACTCAGCATTGCGTATAGTCCAGTTCTTATTCATGTATGAATTTAATGCTTTAAAAATTTTTATATAGAACCTACGCGTTTTAAGATTTGTTTTAGATTTATTGTTAATAAACTGGTCTGCTTTTCTGATTTCATTAGTATATACTTCTTTTGTTTCAAAATTCGCAGTTATATGAATCCAATACACGAAAAACTCATTTGGCTTCCATTTAAAATTTATAACTCTGACTTGCTTTACCTTAAGATTATCAAACGTGGTAATGGTTTTAATATTTTCTAAAAGATCACCTACTATTTTAACAATTTGTGTTGGACCCATACGTGATATTTCACACAAACTATTAAATTTATTTTTATGAATACATGTCACATCCCAGCGTATAACGAAATCAAGTCCAACATTTTTAAAAACGACGAATTTTTGAGTGGTTACTAACTGAAAATCAAATTTTCTATGACCTTCACACCAATATTCGCTAGAATAATTCGGAGCCAGGGAGATTAGAACAACTGAATGGCTCTGATCTTTGTTTTCCCAAATAATGGCAATCTTAACCTTTCTTAATATACCATATGCTTTGTAAGTAAAACATTGTACACCAATATCGTGTTCATTATTTAAGAATAAATACTTTCGATTATAAATTACAAGAGTTAATTGTTTATCCTGTTCTTTCATTTTTAAAATCATTTTTATTTCTTTTGAATTTGTTGACCCTATAATACTTTTACTTATTGGTGGAAACCCATGTAAGCTTTTATTAATACCGTGTATCAAGTTATATGAGTTTAAAACTATCATACATTTATTGCCAAAATTATCATTAAAGTAATTAAATTTAAAACCTTTTTTTCCCGTTCATTCCACACACTCTTGGATAATACACAGTTAAATAAATTACGATTGATTAAGTATTTCTCAGTTTGAATGCACCTATCCATTGCCCACAAATCGATACAAAAGGATTCATTTTGTGAAAAGATTAGATCACCAAATTGGTGAGGGTACCCTAAGTTGGTTGGTAAGTCATACTTAAAAACACAAACCATATTTAAGGGAACCGTACACTTTTCAGTAAATAAAACATTATGGTACTTTTTTTCATTCGTAATTGTATGCTTAAGGCAGTGTTTTTCAGAATCGTTAACCGATATTATTATATTCTCACTAATAATTTTTTTCCATGATTTTCCAGGTAAACGTACTACAAATGGCATAAAGGAATTTTCTCTTCTTATTGGTAGCCAGTAATCACTTATATTCTTTTTATAAGGAATTGTAAAACTTTGGCAATGTCCGGCTCTGTCAAATCCATTGGTATAATTTTATTTGAGCCATAGCAAAAATGTTCATTGTATGATTCGAAAGTACGTGAAATTTTTAAACAATGTATGCCGCTGTCAGGCAATTGAACTTCAAAAAGGTCATCTGGACATTGCATTTTATTAAGTTTTAATTCATTACACCCTATTTTATCTGGGATCAAATGGCAAGTGCTAATATCGCACGAACGTATTAAAATGTGGTCCTTATGTTTTAGGCAAAGAAGATCTTCAGTTCTTGTATAACTAATTTTTTTGCATTTCCAGTAGGCCATAGCGTCATCACATTTTTTCAGCTACAATGAAATTTAAAATTAATATTTAAGCTTTATGAATTTGTATTTGGACTTCAACATTGTAATCAAAGACATTAAAAAGGTTGCATTTGTATGTACAAGCTTGTAAAATCTTTCCCATATCTGCGTTGCTTTTTCTTACCATTTCGTTATGTAAACCCATTGAAACAGCAAAGATACATAAATAATAAATTACTCGAAAGTCTGGATTAAGAAACATAATTTGTAACGTAAATAAGAAAAGTAATATATTGTTTAATGTAAATTTTTTTTTTAGTTTTTACATAATATTGTTTCAATTTATAAAACAGAGTATTAGCAAGATTTGCCTTCGACACCTATTTAATTTGAATAAGAGCGCACTAGGTACAATTAAAATAATATAAATCTTTAATAGTAATGTAAGGGGTTGATCTTCGTGTTATCAGTGCTTATTGGGGTGGTACCTATGATGACTTCATTTAATTTATACACTCATAATTAGTGAACCTTTTAAAAGGGTGACACAATACGTTACCCAGTTTTAAGCCCGCGGCCAAAAAAAAAATAAAACAATAAAAACCGAAATTCTAGAATATTATAAAATGGTTATATCTTAAATTTGATGAAAATATGTTGAAAACTGAAATTCATAATTTTTAATTATTTGAATTTTTGATCGTTTATAATTAGAACAAAATTCAATTGTGTCACCTATTTTATATAGTCGTCCGATCACTTCCGACATATATAAGAGTAAGAGTGTATAGAAGACTAACGCAAAGTTTCATTCAAAGAAATTTCAGAGAATAGTTTGCGTAGAAACGGACAGACGGATGCTGATCAAGAATATATATACTTATTCGGTCGGAGATGACTCCTCCAATGCGTTGCAACTTCTAACTGAAATTATAATACCCTGCAAGGGCATAATAAGAAATAAAAAATAATACAAAAAAATCGCTACGGAATATATTATGTTATGGCATATTATGTTATGGCAGCACTGTGAGAGCTTCGAGAAAACTCATTCCGATAAAATATGGCTCCGTATGTAATTGAAAAATTTTAAAAAATTACAGATGTTTGCTTAAATATATTGACGAGTTTTAGTTGCCTCGAAATTCATATCAAGGCGTTTGGGGTGTAAATATAGATATAGATAGAAATACCAAGACAGAGTAAGCAGGGCTATCTTAATGTCAGGACGGTCGAGTTATAACAGACCTATTAATATAAGTAGGTTATGGTCACACTATTCGTTGAGGTGCACTCTCTCAAGAGAGCATGTTACTCTCTCGAGAAAGTGCCTCTCTGGTAATAAGGGGGTTGAAGACAAGTTGCCTGCAAGATCACACAGATCACTGTGTGAAAGAGTCTCGTTCAACGAGAGCTCAAGAAGAAACAACAAATGAAAAGTGTATAACAGAACAATTGAAAAATTAAAAAAAACAAGAAAGAAAGCTAACTTCGGCACGCCGAAGTTTATATACCCTTGCAGATAGAACTTCTGTGAATTGGAATACATACAATATTAATTATATATATTTGTGTTAAAAAACAATGAAGTAATACCTGCTTTCATTTCATTCACCTATACATATTATATTTGCAATTTTACAGTCACAGATTTGCATTTTTCCTCTACATCAAACGATCGTTTGTATGGAACCTATGTGATATAGTCGTCCGATTTTCATGAAATTTGCCACAAATATAAGACTTATATAAAATGGCTATACCTCAAATTTGATGAAAATCAGCTGAAAACTGAAAAAGTTATAAATTTAATTGTATTAATTTCTCGATCGTTCCTATGGAAGCTATATGATATAGTAGTCCGATTTTCATAAAATTTTATGCAAAATTGTAAAGTATAGTAAAATGGCTATATCTCAAATTTTATCCAATTCTATTGAAAACTGAAAAAGTTAAAATTTTTTTTGTAAAAATTTTCCGATCATTCCTATGGAAGCTATAGGATATAGTCGTCCGATCCGGCCCGTTCCGACATATATACAAGTGAGAGTATATAGAAGGCTAACTACAAAGTTTCATTCAGATAGCTTCAAAACTGAGAGACTAGTTTGCGTAGAAACGGACAGACGGACAGACGGACAGACGGACAGAAGGACAGACGGACAGACGGACATGGCTAGATCGACTCGGCTGTTGATCCTGATCAAGAATATATATACTTTATATAGTCGGAGGTGCCTCCTTCACTGCGTTGCAAACTTCTGACTGAAATTATAATACCCTGCAAGGGTATAATAATAATAAACAAATAAAGAGTTTAGAATCAACTAATGAATTTAGGAACAAATAATCAAAATAACATCCTGTCGAAGAATTAAACAGGGCAACTTTGAATAATAACTCTTATTAATTATTTGTGAAAGAAAAAATATGCCGTTCAATTTTTTACCAAAATTTTTTCAAAGTCCTGCCAATTTGATAATTTAATATTTAAAAAAATTAATTAATCGTTAATGGTTAAGTTGATCGTTAATTAATGGTAAAAAATAAAATTTTTTACTTAAGTTTATATTATTTTTTTTTTAACAAAGTTGACCTGCTAAATTGGTTAAAGTTAGCATGACAACACCAGAAATCCTTCCATTTTCAAAATTAATGTTAATTTCTGCCTATGAGGTTAATTCTTGCCTGAAATCGTCCTCTATATGGTATCAAGTGAAGAAATTTCAATTTACCACGAACAAGACCACTGTTGGCGATTGGCAATGGCAATATTTCAGTTGATGCTTCGACTGGATTGATCCCGGCAAACTTTTTCGAGTTCACGTAATTGAATTAGAGAACGAGAAATATTAACAGCGAAGAATAAGGACATCAAGAGTTCGAATTATATTATTCAAAGTCAAATCGCTGAGGACTGCATTCATACAAATCCATCGACGGCGTGACCAATGAGGATGAATTTTTCAACTCGCTTGTTTGAACTAAAGGTTGGATCAATCATAATAGTGCTGTGGAATCTAAATCATCAGAAATTGGCAATGGTACGCGGTTGTCCGTCGATAAACAATTACAAATGGTCTTCTATTTCAATTTAAACGGATTCAGTTGCCAGTTCGCTTGGCTTTTGCCAAGACGACTAAGCAATCGAATGGTCAATCGTTGGAAGTCTGTGGTATTAACTTTGAATAACTTTATTTTTTGCATAGTCATTTGTACAAGCTCATACCAATGTTGCAAAGCCGTCGTCGTTGTTTATTTTTGCGCCAGAAAATAAATCAAACAAGAAAGATAGCTAACTTCTACACTTGTATAACCTTGTAGATTGAAATTCGGTCAATAATATAATAGAACAGATGTGCCTGTAGATACTATATATATATATATATATATATATATATTCAAAGTTTAGCATTAAAACCGAAATTTAGAATAATATTAAGTGGATATATCTTAAATTCAAAAAAAGCAGACCGCAATATGATATAGTGTCAGATTTGCATAGAATTTTTAAAAAATTCTAGAATAAAACAAAATTTCACAAAATTCTTAAATTTCACAACAGTGTTTTGAAAACTGGAAAAGTTTGTTTTAAAAAAAAATTTTTTTTTTTACCTTTTTATTTTTATTTTATTTCATTTTTCTAAATTATTTATTATAATATATTATTTCTTAGACAATTGAATTAAATAATTGCAACTATGAATTATGAAAAAAATTCAGTTAAATGATTGTCTGAAATTCAAATTTGTTTTAATTTGCTCGAGTGGGTGAAAAAGCGGGAAAAGAAAAGAGCGCCAATTTTTCGGTTTCCCCTTCTTTCTCTTCTTGCGTTCGCTTAAAGCCCACAAATGCATAGAGTACTGATAAATAAGATTAATAAGATTTTTAAATACTCAAACGCTTTACTATTGAATAAAATGTAATCCGTTGCGTCTGTGACATCTATATACATATATAAAAATGCTCTGTTTGTGTCTACTTCCTTCATAGACTTGAAAAGTTCTGAACCGTTTAAGCCCAAATTTTTTCACAACATGCGTTGAGGTTCCAGCTCGGTTATTGTCTACTTTTGATCTTGATAGCTGATCTGCGTTTGCGAATATATAAGTTTTTTTCCGCGTTTCTCCGTGCCCCTACTGCTGCGCCCTCTACAGGCAGCCAGCTGAATCGAAGCATTTCCTGTCAAACATCCCAAAAATATTGAAAGAAGAAATAGGAGATTACAATTTTATTTTTTTGTTCAGGTTCAGTAAGAAACGAAGTCATGCTACCCAAGGAGTCGAGTTTCGGTCGTCGTACTTGCAATACAGAAGGAAAAAGACGTAAGATTACGAATATGACTGGCGAAGAACGGACTGCCATCCGAGAGACTGAGCGGCTGAGAGCAATGGAGATGCACAACGCGGAATCAGCAGAAAGACGAGCAGATAGGCTTGAGAGAACGATTGAGAGTTAGGCTGTCACGTTCTGCAGCAATCGATTTGATTCACTCTCAAAATAATGAACGCGACAGGGCAAGGATAGCTGAAGCTTGGATGCTCCAGGAGGAACGGGGAAAACATTCCTCATTACATTGATTCTGGCTACGGTTCGAGCTAACAAGGACATAGCTTTAGCTCTTGTTTCATCTGGAATTGCTGCGACATTGTTACATTGGGAGGACTGCTCATTCAGCGCTGAAGTTGCCGTTGAACATGCAAATCATCGAGACTCCTATGTGCAACATTTCCAGAGCATCTGGCATGGGAAAAGTATTGCAAAGATGTAAACTCATTGTTTGAGTTTAGCACGCAAAAAATCGCGGGAGGCTCTCGATCGATCATTGTGGGATTTGCGTGGAGCTGTCCAACTATTTGGGAATGCGTTGATATTGCTCGCAGGGGATTTCAGGCAAACGTTGCCTGTGATTTCCCGATCAACACCAGCTGACGAGATAAATGCTTGCCTGAAATATTATATATTGTGGCAACATGTACGTACATTACAGTTGAAGACGAATATGCGGGTGCAGTTACAGAACGATGACTCAGCCGACGTATTCTCACGACAGCTACTGGACATTGGGAATGGAAAGCTGCCACTCAATGAGACGTCGAGAACAATATTATTGCCCGAGAATTTCTGTAATTTAGTTACATCAAAGGAAGGACTTATCCAAAAAGTGTTCTCCGATATCCAAATAAAGTATAGGAATTACGATTGGCTCAGTGGACGAGCGATTCTCGCTGCCAAGAACAAAGATGTTTACCAGCTCAATCATGTAATCCAATCCAGCATAGAAACTGTCGAAATGACATATAAGTCGATAGATACCGTTATGGAGGCAGAGAAAGCTGTTAATTACCCTACCGAATTTCTAAACTCACTTTATCTGCCTGGAAAGCCACCACACATATTAAAATTAAACCAAGAAAGGAAGCTAACTTCGGCACGCCGAAGTTGATATACCCTTGCAGATAGAACTTCTATGAATAGGAATCCATACAATATAAATTATATATATTTGTGTGAATGAAGTAATACCTGCATTCATTTCATTCACCCATACATATTATATTTTCAGTTTTACATTCACAAATTTGCATTTTTCCTC